GTGGGGAACCCCACCAAGCGCACCCAGTGGTATCGCGAAGGCGTAGGGTATTGGCAGGGAGTCGAGGCATCAGTCGATGGGGTTTTGGGAGGCTATGGCCATGTTAACGACGCCGATATCTTGGGCAGTGAAGTCTTTCTCAAATCCATTCTGTCCGAGCGTTTTCATTTCGCTGGAAAAGACCGCCCCCTTGTTGCTCTTGGTATGTCTCCGGAATTCTTCATTTTGTGATTACGCACTATAATTTCACCACTGCTCTGCTTTTCTTTTGCTACGTGCTCTACTTCTTTTCTTCGAATCTTATCTATACATGCTCGAGAGATGATGAGTTTTCTGATTGTTCTTTATTTGCAGATTGTGGTTCTGGCATTGGGAGAGTCACAAAAAATCTTCTTATCAGATATTTTAACGAGGTAAGGTAATATTAGTTACTTTTTGAGCCTCGTTGGGGATTGTCATACTATACATAAAGAACAATGAGATTAATAACCAGAAATACTTATGACTTCTATCAGGGCAGCATTTTACTCTATGGCCTAGAGTGTGTAAATCCATATGCAACCATTATTGAGTTTGGGCCATTTGTGTAATGCCCATTTCCTTGACTTTAATAAATGGTTTTCTGGTAATTGATAATCCATGTTATGCTTTGATGTAGTTGTAGACTATCTTTATTTTGGAACAAATGCGTTGCTTGTGACTCGATATCCAATGTTTTCGAGCATTCAATTTCACACTCCACTTTATGTGAATTGCAGTCTGTTATTGCTATTAATATTTTAGTTTAACATGTAATCTGCTCACTTTAAAATTATCTGGTCTAGTATGCATATTCACTCTTACAGAAAGTATATTTTTATGAGCTTCAGGTTGACCTTCTTGAACCTGTATCACATTTCCTAGAGGCTGCCCGTGAAAGCTTGGCTCCAGAAAATAGTGGTGCCTCCTCTGATATGCACAAAGCCACTAACTTCTTTTGTGTGCCTCTACAGGTAATATGTTTCACATTTAATGTGGTGATACTCAATAACGAAAGATAAGAAAATTTGTTATTTTTTGTGATTGGGTATGCTTAAGATCATCTCTTTGCCCCTTTAGGTGGTAGTTGATGTACCCTTTTTAATATGAAAGTAATGTTGTTTCCTAAATGAGGTCCTTTGCTTATGAAAAGGTCTATTCTTAATTTTCCCCTCCACCTCACCCCGTCCTCTACTATGTAACTGAAAAGAAAACAGTTTCTGTCTGAAATTTCTTTGATATTCATGAATTTCACTGTTTGTTAATTTGGTATTTGGTGTGAGCCTTTTGCATCCTTTTAAAAGATCTACACTTCGTTCTACTGTTAGGAATTCACGCCAGCTGCTGGAAGATATGATATTATATGGGTTCAGTGGTGTATTGGCCATCTTACAGATGAGGACTTCATCTCCTTCTTTAAAAGAGCCAAGGTAAATTGTTTTTCTCTTGAACCAATCTTCAAAAAATTTTGTTACTTGAATGATTTACCATTTATTGGGCCCTCCTGGTTGATGTTAAGATTTCTAGCTGTCAGTTAAACTCTTCAAATAGTTAAGATCTTGTTATTTTTTCCCCACCTTCACTTCTAGTCTTTTGTTTGCCTCATTTATTTCTTTGGAGGTTCTTTTAATTCAGACAATACTAGATTTTGAATTTAGTCACTAAAACAAAATGTCAATGAAAAGTTTGTTTCTTGTTAAAAAAAAAAAAATCTTGAAAATTGAAATGGTGAAGGTAAACATTGTGCATGTGTATTCTTAGAGAGTGAGATGTCATGAAAATGTTGATGGACATTCCGATGATGGCAAAATTTACAATTCATGGAAGCTTGAAAGCTTTATTAAAATTCAAACTTGAAAAATCTGTAATCATGATCAAATACTAATTTGATCATCTTGTTTAACATATTATAGAGAAAGATAGCTAGAAAGATATCCATTAATTTTATAACTTTATGTATGAAAATTTTCATATTTAAATTAATATCAGAGGGAAGTATCCTTTTGACAGTATTTATACCAAAGATTGAATCATTAGTTGTTTTTAGTAAGAAACAAAAGGAACTCATTTTTCACAAGTGGGAAACTCAATGGTAGATAAGACGTATTTATCTAGGTGAAGGGCAGTTTACAACAAAGACGTCGAGTTGCCATTGATGAGAAGAAATTATAATATATATTTTTTTTTTAAAAAAAAGAGAGAGAAATGGACTATTTGGAAGTCAAAAAATCTAGTTGAATCTCAAACCTCCTCTGGATCTTTAGCCTCCTGTTAAAAAATTGCTTAATTTCTCCTTCCTACCTCACAAAATTCTGGCTTTGAATGGTTTTCCCCAAAATAATTTACATTTCATATATTTGAGAAATATCTAGAATATTTTCACCATTCTGTAGGTTCATAATGATGCTTCTTTTAGTTAAGGAACCAAGAGAAAGATGAAATTATCTTTATAATGTTTCAATTGCCTTAAAATATTTCTAACCCGTTACGTCATATCATATGGTGATCCTTGGAAACTGACAGTTCTCTTTGTTTTCACCACGTAATGATTTGGCATCAGAAAGAGAGAACTGGACTATTTCCAGTTTTCACCTTTTATGTTATGATAGTTGTCCATGTTTGTTCATGTTTCTGATAACATCTTGCGAGTAATCACTTTTTCCATGTGTTTGACAACTCTTAAAAAAATGTTTCTGATAACTGGGATTAATTCTGCAGCATCATGGTTTTGTAAATCAAACATCTTATATGTATATTTAATTATTAAGAATGCTATGATTTCATTAGGTAGACTGATATTTGACTCTTAACCATTCACTACTTCCAGGCAGGGCTAAAAGGTGGTGGAATTTTCATCCTGAAGGAAAATATTGCTAGATCTGGTATTGCCATTTTCGATTAATTTTTTGTGAATGTTATGCTGTCTAGTGACAAAAATATATGATCTCAATTTCAATATCTGATATCTGGATTCCACGGACACGTTCTGAACATTTACCTAATAGGCGTGTTTACCACCTTGTGCCATATGTTAGAATTTAGATAATGAACTTTTACTTACAAGTTACAGTATGTCATCAATGTAATGCTATTCTAAGTATGGGATTTCCAGGAAGAGCGAGATTCCTCCTGAATCTAAACTTTTAAGAAGGTTAAAAAAGAATTCTCACGTATGCTTTAGGGTAAAAAGATTCTCACGGATGCTTTATGGTTCAGGGAAACAAGTTTTACACAGATGACACATATACTTTGAAGTAAACATTTTACTGCTAATACTAACATTTCCTTTTAATATATTATTCAGTTGTTTTTAGTAATAACATTTTATTGATAAAGTTTTATTATTCATGGATATATTCTATAATTCTATTATCTCAAGTCTTTTTAGTTTCATTGTTCTCTCTTCATTGATGTTTCTGTTTCTTGTCAGAAAAAGAAAATACCTTTGTATTTCAAGCATGTCTGCCTAGTTGTTTTGATAATAGAAAGTGAGACTTTCTTCTCACCTCTTCGAGTTCTCTTGGTTTTCTGTGATTTTCCTTGGTTTAATTTTCAAGTGGGATCATTCTAGCTGAAAATTAAAATGCATATCTCAGAACTCAAGTCTTGTGTCTTGCTGCAGGATTCATATTAGATAAAGAAGATCGAAGCATCACAAGATCTGATATATACTATAAGAATCTATTCAACCAGTGTGGCCTCTATCCATTTAAATCAAAGGTAAAGTGACTATATACATTTGGATGAGTCTAATCAATGCTGCTATTAATTTCTTACCAGTCCGTCCAATCATATAACCAGATTGCAAAATGATTTTCTTGGTTGATATTTTATCAAATTATCTTTTATTTCTCAAACTTATCTCTGTTAATCACTTAAAGTAACAGGACATCAAGATAAATCAAACTTATCTGAGTATGTACGTAAATAGCTCTTAAATTTCTATCCTTCCAACAAGGATGCCTTCTGATCTACCAAAAGATTGGAGTTGACTGATTTGGGGATGGGGGGAAGCATTCCCTATTCCTGCCTCGCCCCATTGGCATTCCTGAATCCTACATGTGAAGTTGTGAACTGCCTCTAAGCATTCCTGCTCAGCCTCATTACACTACTTGGTTTATTCACTACCTTTAGTCCTAAACAAATGAACTCCAATGATTGCTAACCGTTTCTAAGAAGGAGAGTGAAAACATTATTAACCTAGCATGTAGCTGGATAGGTAGTGCACCTTGTGGTTCACATTGCTGTCAAATTGTCATACCAGAATTGACATGTCTTAAGCCTTGCTCATAAATTTCATTCTGGTTGCTGAATTAATTCCATAAATGAATTCAATTTGCGTGCATTTATTTGATAAAAGAATTATTTGGAATATTTTAGAAACCATTAAAAATCCATACATTATACAATATCAATCTTCATGTCTTGGAGTTTTTTTTACTTTACCATTCATCAAGCTTCCAGAGTGATTCTATGACTAGTCTCGACTTTTGAGTGGGGAGTCTGAGTTTATATTCCCCGCTAATATCCTGTTTCTTCATTGATTTATCCATGAAAACTAGGCAGGGGTGTCCAGAAAACATGACAACCCATGAAAGGATGAACCAAGCTGTTCATGTTTGAGTGAGTCAAACTAGTTTGGGTTAGTCTGAATCCGGCCAATTCAAATTTATAGATTAAAAAATTATTTTAGTTGGTTAAGATAAAGTTAGTCACACGTGTCTTTTTCTATTTCATTGATTCTTTTCCTTCTCTAAGTCCAAAAGTCATTTGTTCAACTTGAGTGAGATATCAGTTTTTATCAAATCAAATATAATATTTGGCTACTAGTTAATTCTATATATGAAAATAAGTAATAAATACTTAGAGTGCTAATGTGTCATTCTTTATCTTTCTACTAATTGTTTAAAATAAGTGCCCTGAGCCCACCTAATCCAATCACCTGGTTAGCTTGGGTTGATCATTTAGGATTACTTGGGTTGAATAAGAATAAATTTGTAGCAAGCATATAAGGCCAAAATACCTTCTCAACCCAACTCGATCCACAAACACCCTTAAATATGATTAATTCTATTACACTTGCTCTCACTTCCTTTGCAATGTGCTCGACTGTAATTTCTACTATATCAGTTATGAATCTAAGCTATTTTATCCATAATGCTTTTAGGATCAAAAGGGATTTCCCGAGGAATTGTTTCCTGTGAAGATGTATGCATTAACTACAGAGGGGCCCAAGAGGAATTCTCGCACCAAAAGGGAACAAAGCAATAGACCTGGCATTATCAAGTGAGGAGCGTCACCCCATTTCTCTCGCTTCTGAATGACTATCAGTAGATACTTTTGTGCTTGGTTACTTTTTGAACCTTATCATGTATGTACAGATTGCATCTTTCTGCAGTATATCATGTTCCTAAATTCTTGTAGGATGTCATCTTGTCTTCAACTTCAAGTGGAAAAGTATGGCCTCTTCGCCTTTGTTTGTGTCTCTGATTGTTGAATCCTCTCAGTTTTAAAGATCTGAACAAAAGAAAATTAAAAAACCAGGTTCATTTGGATGTGCTATAGAGAACGGTTTCTTGGACAAGTTTCTTGTTTTTATTTTTAGTTTTCTGTGGCAAGAACTATTTGGAAAGTTTTCAGATGGGGAACACTGAAATACAACAAAATGACATTGTTTAAACGAAAATCTGCATATTTGGTTTGCATCTGCTTGACTTTGATATGAAAGGTCTCATTCAGCTGTATTCATTTTGTGTGATAGGCCACTTAACATACAAATCCGTACTAGATTGAACTGGAAACCTCAAGCGTCTGGTTTCTCATGCATTCGAGGAGATGCCATTGCCATCCGTCCCAATTCCAAACCCCTTACTCTTTGTCATCTTAAAGCACTGTGCATTACATAACAGTCGTCTGTTACTCAATGTTTCAACAGTTGATATCTTTTATATTAATGAACAAATGTGATGTTTTTATTCATGGCCAATTAGCAGAATTATGTAGAGAACATGAAGGAGCAAAGAGGAAGAACTCTTTGAATGATTATAGTTTAAAGTCGTGTAAAGAACAATGAAGTTAAATTTAACTTTCCAAACAGAAATTGAGGAATACCATAGCAACATTCAGCTGTCATTTTATCTTATAATTCATACTTCGCTTCCCTTGAAAAGAGAGTCTCATATGGAATAGCAATGGTTGAGGATGTAAGAAAATGAGATGTTTTAAAAATAAGTAGGCAAATGACAGCTGATGCCATATATTGAGAACCTGTCCAAGACAAGAAATCATCTTCTCCTGTAAATGGCTTTACTATAACATATACATAGAATGGATGATGCGACACAGATAAGGTAATCATTGATATACATATATGAAATGTAGAGTAGAGACACAAATGAATAATAGCTAGATACCAGAGCATATAAGTTATCATTTTACCTGCCACCTGACCCATTTTTCAGAAGCAAGCAACAAAACCTTGTTCTGCTCAATATTCAACATTCAGAAGATATGTAGATGGTGTTGTATAAAAAATGCTCAATTCTCTCAACATTCAGAAGATATGTAGATGGTGTTACATCAAAAATACTTTACGCATCCAAATCTAATTGACTAACTTAAATGAAAACTGGAATCATACAAGTAAAACAATAAGAGAATCTATACATCCATGTCAGAAAAGAAACATACGATTCAAGGAAATAACTCATGTTCAAAACTTCCATGAAAGCATAACCAGCTGTGCTTGGAAAATGTTTCAAGTATCATATTATGGTAGCCAGAATCCAAAACCAATATAAATAACAAACTCAGTAAAAGAAAGGACGTAATAGAAACAAAAGGTTAAAATTTTAACTTCCCCGAACAAGTTTGGAAGAGACACAAATGATGCACTTTAAGCTTGAGCATCAACCTTCTCTTCTGCATCATTTGTTGCCACATTATCAGTTGCACCATTTTCATCCTCTCCTGGTGGTTGCACTTGATCCTCCTCAGCCAGTGGCTCCTCAACATAATCGTTCTCAAATGCATCTGCAGGAACCTCATAGATCCGAACCTGTGGTTTCGACGGGTCCTTAACCAAAACATACTTACCTTCGTTTAATTTCATGCACAAATCCACAATAGATTTGACAATACCCCACATATTAGAAGTATTCAAGTTAATCTGAGCTGCAAAATCCTTGGGTTTATATCCAACCACAGCTAAGATAACATGGTTAAAGTGATCACGAGGATGAACCCTAGAGACATACCCCAACTTCATCATATCTGCGCTAGCTAACAAAGCTTGAGCTGTCCATTTTGCCAATTTATTAGCGTTGTTCTTCAACTCAGTGGCCAAAACAGCACCCCTTTGTGTCTCCAATTTCTGCCTCCAATCAACACCAGAATACTTGGGATCAAATTCATTGAGAGCATTCAAAGTCAAGAACGATCTCTGCTTATTAACCTCCATAACACTTTGAACCTCACACCTTGCCACAAGATACATTTCATCATCGAGTTTCCACCTCCTATACCTATAAGCCACAGAAGCGACCTCCTCGCCCTCATTTGCAAATGGATTTGGCTCGTCAAAGGCCACCTTGTTACCGTCCCTAACTAAAACTTGCTGCGAGAAGTTCTGATTAATGTAAGCGGCTTCAACGCTCAGTGAGTAAGCAGAATTGATATCGTCCTTCGCCTCTGGTAAGGGTTCCTGCGAGGTCTCGTGGACGGCAAGCAAATCAAGTTGCGACCCATCCCTCTTATCAAAGAAAAGCTTGTTACCAACACGCTGAACCACAATATCCCAGGAATAAACCGATCTTGTAGCACACATAAGCGTGGAAAGGATCGCGTCAGTAGCAAAAACTGTGGCTTTGTCCTCATTTGCGAGACGACGAATGACAGGATCGTCGGTAGTGGTTACCTTGAAGAAGTTGCGATTCTTGAAGCGCTCGAGACGGCGCTCGTTCTTGGGAGTGATTCGGTCGTTCGCTCGATCATAGAACTCTAGCCCACCGCACAGAAGAAGGTCTTCGGGCTCAGGAACAGAGAAGGACAGCTTCGAGAACGTGGAGAAGGGAATTTGATCGAGCATGTTCCATTCCGGTTGAATTTCCACGGAGGACTTGAAAACAGCAGCCTCACGACGCGGCGCATTGACATTAGACCTGTTGAGGTTGTAGAGGCGGTCGCGTCGAGCCCGCTCCTTCTCAGCCTCGCGCTTCCGAGCCTCAACTTCTTCGTCGCGGCGTTGGGGCAGCTGCGTTCGTTGCTGGTTGAATCGCCATTTAGGGCCAAATTTGGGACGCGGAGGAGGCTTTCCATCAACCAAACGGAAGGACATGTCCTCGTCGGCGTTGGCGGGGAAGGAATCGTCATTGGTGAAATCGAAGACGGAATCGGAAGCGGTCTTGGGGCGACCGGGGTTGTTGATTGTGCGCGTCCAATCGGCGATCCGGCCAAGCTTGTCGGAGCGAGAGAATGGGGCAAAGGGCACATTGAGAGGGAGGTTGGAGGATGCGGCGAGAGTGGCGGTGGAGTCCGGCGGACCCCAACCGTCTGGGTTGTAGGGGACAGCTCCGACTTCGAAAGCTCCGACCATGTCGAACAATGGCTGAGCAGCAGGACTGACGGCGGGAGAGAGAGATGAGAACTGACGGCGGAGGAGAGGGAGATGAGAAGGAGACAAGGGCAAGTAGAAAAACCCTAACGGGTTGTCTGGCCCATTTGCATTCTAAGCCAACTTTGGGCCCACGTTTGGAACTCATGGGCTTTCAACTCCTGGGTTTCCATATATATTCTTTTTTTTTCTTAATAAAGACAAATTATTTTTTTTCTTAAATAGATTTTATTTTTGTTTTTTCGTCATCTTTCGATTTCTTTTGTTTCAAAAACATCTATTCCTTCTCGAGGTTTGGAATGTTCATATTGAAGGAAATATACGGATATGTCAGAAAGAAACTCGGAGATTATGAACATTAATAGGAATTATTTAAATTAATAAATGAATTATTTAAATTAGTAGATGAGAGTTATCTAAAGATATAAATATTGAAATATCGATGTGAACAAAAATTCCAAAAATAATTCTAAACACATGAGAAAATTGGTGAAAATTATTTTAATTTGCAATTGAGAGTTTAATTTAGATTATTTAGGCTATTAATTTAGTTATAATACAATATATTTAAGCAAGATTTAAAATATTGAGCTGGATATATTTATGTTGAAAAATATGTTAGAGAAAATTTGTGGCAATCACTCGAACTTAAAATTGTTTGGTTAATAAATGAGATTTAAGCGTAACTTAACTACTAAAAATCTAACCATTTTAATCTCCATGTTCGTAAACTTAAAGTAATGTTGATATTTTTTAAATGATTAAAAATGAAATAATTTTATAATTTTACTACATGATAGAAATAATTTTAAATATTCTTTCAAAAAATTAATTTATTAGGAGTAGAAGTATTTGAATATCTATTATAATAATTTTAAAAAATAATTATAAAAATTTGAAAGAAATTGTTTAAATTATTATTTTTATAACAATAATGTTTTTTTAGCCTCTTGATTAAAGATATATGCCAATTATCGCTGAACTATGCTCACTTTGACTTTATACCAATAATGTAAAAAGTATAATAATAATAGTAGTAGTTAGTGTGTAGGGAGATAGAAGAGAGTTAATTGAAGCTCCTCGTGTATGAGCAAGCAAAAATCTCATAGAATCATTCCTCTCTGAAAAATACACAATCCTACCCTCCAAAGGGCTACACAACACCCTAAAATCAACCCTAGGCCGTGTTGAACCTATGGGTCAAATGCCCATAAAACTAAAATGTATGTGACCTAATTTTTTGAATCCTATCAATTCTATATCTAAGATATGCTTTATTTGAATATCTTTTTTCAACAATTCTTTTAAATGAAAATTTTAAATGGTAAAAATTGTAAAAGTGAACATTACCAGACTTATTCAAGTTTGAAACTACAATTTGATAAATTTAAAAATTTAGGAAAAATTTATACTGTTTGTCAAGTCGAGGATCAACCAAATTATTTTATCAACTCCATCTTCCCAGATTGAATTACGTGGTGGTGTTTGTTAATTAAAAGAAATCAATTCTCAACAGTTTTCGGTTTTATTTCAAGTTTTTGGGAAATAAAAGGTTAATAGTCATCTTATTGAGTGCTGGTTGGATGATTCTAATCATTGTAGCTATTCCTCTACCAGTCTTTTAATTCAATTGATCTATATTTTCATAAAATATAAATAATTAGGCCGTAGGATTAAATGCACGTTCTTTTGTTTGAAATCTTGGCGTTGTTCTACTTCCTTCCTTTTCGTCTGTTCATTTCTGAAGAAATTATCGGGATCCACTCTCGTTTTCACTTCCACCAGTCTATCAAAATTCCCTTTAAAATACTTCCTTCCAAATTCCTCCGCCAACCCATAATTCGTTTCATCGCTTGGATTCGCCCCGATGTCCGGATCCCTGTAGTTCAGAAATTCTTCCCTCGGAGAACTCGACACGAATGGACTCATGAAATCGAACAAACTTCTCGACATATTCAGATAGAAATTTCCAGAATCGGTTCCTTCCTCCGTCCACGCCAGTGGGTACTGAATCTTGAACAAGTTCCCTGCTCTGTGCGGAAATGGAGTCGCCGATTCCGGAATTTCCGCCATTCTTCCTCCGTAGGGGTTCCACTGCATCCCCAACCGAGTGTTCTCGAACCCAATCATGGTCTCCCAAATCGACGCGATCCCTTCCTTCGAGATCGCCTTCTTCACGTAATCGGACCTGCTCTTGAAATAATCCGACCCGTTTTTGGGTCTGTCGAGAAGACTTTCAATGGTGCTTCCTTCTGGGAAGCCGTGCCAGAACAGAGTGGATTCGACCCACTTTCTTTCGCAGCAATCGCTCTGCTTTAAACCCAATTCAGGGAACCTCCGCTTCATTAACGAAATCAGCGGCTTGCTCGATCCCAAAAACAGACCGATGAACGAAACCTGAACTGTGAACTCGCCTTCTTTTGTAGTTGAGGCCACTCTACGTTATGCCTTGCTCTTATGAACAACTCGTTGGGTAAATTTGGAGCCACAAATTGCCAGCGATGGGTCACGTCGAGTGCACCTTGTTCTACAGTGATTCTGACATTGAAAACGGTTACGGTTTTGGGAACGGGGACCAGTTTAATCTTCCACGAAATCACGACGCCAAAACTGGCGGCCCCACCTCCTGTAATAGCCCAAAACAGATCCTCCCCCATGGAATCACGATCGTGGACCACACCATTGGCGTCCACGAACAGAGCGTCGATGATGTTATCAACGGAAAGTCCGTATTTTCTCATGAGATTCCCGTAGCCACCGCCGCTGAAATGACCCCCGACGCCGACGGAGGGACAAACGCCGCCGGGAAAGGCAAGCTCTTGGCTGAAATGGGCAATACGGTAATAGAGCTCGCCCAAAATGGCACCGGCTTCAACCCATGCAACGTAATCCGAGTGCTCATCCTTTGAAATATCAATCCGACGAAAATTGAACATGTCGAGCAACACAAAGGGGGCAGCGGAGCGATAGGAGAGACCCTCGTAGTCATGGCCGCCGCTCCTGACTCGAAGCTGCAGGCCCAGCGGCTTGGCGCAGGCGACCGTGGCTTGGACGTGGCTCACGTTCACAGGCGTGATGATCACAACCGGCTTGGGGGTTTGGGGTGTCAGAAAGCGGAGGTTTCTGCTGTACGATTGAAGAACTGATAAAAAGGAAGCATTTTGAGGAGTGTAAATGAGTTCAGAAATGGAGGGTGTGGCGCCGCCGGCATGGATGGAAAGGCACTCAACAAATTTGTCCACCACAGCCACAGCCGCAGCCGCAGCCGCAGCCGCAGCCGCAGAGGGTGTTGATTCAGAAACTGAAATTACAAGAAGAATTTTCAAAGAGGTGGACAACATTAGAGACCTCATATTTGTTATCGTGATTATTACTTCCAACTTTCAAGCTTATTCTCTATTTATATATAATACAGAAATGGAAATTGATGAATTATATTTATGGAAAATGTTCTGTCTTCCCTAATTAAACGAATGTGTCATAAAAGGGAATAGAATTAATGAATTGAGTTGTGGTGGCCTTGGTGTTGGGTAATCATCCCCTTGCCTTGATTTGATCCTCAGTCTCCATTGATTATTTGGCAGTTTCCTTATACGTAATACTATATATAATTAAATGCTAAGTAAATTTTCAGAACGTAAACGTTGAATGAGGAGGCAAAAATAAGTAAATTTATTATTATTAATCTCGTAATTTAGGGGGTCCTGTCATTTCAACTTCTCTGTTTCATTTTTTTATGCCAAAATTTTTAAGCTTGAACTTGGCTTCTTCTTTTCCATAGCAATATTAGGAGTTTTTCCTTTTCAAAAATATGAATTATGTGATTTATTTTCTTAAACGTTAGGGTTTTGTTCCTTAAGTTCATTACGTGGGGATGGGGATGAGAATCGAATCATCAACTTTTGAGACGATAATCCATGCTTTGTCGGCTAAACTATGTTTGGATCGATAATTTTATTATAAATTTTTGTTATATTGTAATTTGAAAACATTTTTACCTCAAGAGTATCATGAGAAATGGAGAAAGTTATATATATACATTTTTGGAAAAAGTTAAAGAACACTTTTGATTTTGAGAAGATAGATTTAGTCATTGAATTTTAGTAGAATTTTGGTAGGTACGAATATTCAGTTTATAATGATTTAGTCTTTATCATAAAAATTTTTCGACGAGGGATTACATGTATTTATAAATTACAAATACTAAATTTTTATTTTATAAAATAAATCGTTATTTTAATTAAAGAAAAAGGTGAAAGGCTCATTGGGATCTGTCCAAGGCATCAATGCACCAATCATGAAATGAAAACTTGTTTCATTGCATTTTAGAAAAAATTTAAAAAACGATTTTGGTTGCTATAATTTTTTTTATTGAAGTAACGATTTAGTCATTCAACTTTTGTTTGCAATGATTTAGTCTCTAAATTTATTAGATAAATATTTAATCTCGTAAATTTTTTTGTTAAATTTCTTATATATGTATATATGTAAATGATAAATTGATAAGCGACCAAATGTGTTTATAAATTACAAATGCTAAATTTTTATATGATAAAAAACAACACTTAATTTGGATTAAATTTTTCAAGGTTGGACTAAATATTATTACAAATTTTAAATTATATCTAAATAAAGTCCAAATCATTACCAATTAAAGTTTAGAGACTAAATCATTATTTTAATAATATATATAAATAAATAAAAAGACAAAAAAGTCGTTGGGATCCATCCTAAAGATATCCATGAAAAAATGCACTCTCTCTGTGTAATTCTTGCCTCTTCCTAACAATAGGGGAACAAAAAGTTGGCAAAGTACAAAAACAAGTTTATTAGTGGAAGAACAGAATCTTCCATTTAAATCAGTTGTTTGTTTGGAAATCAAGTGGTTGCAACAGGTGGGATACACTGCTCGCATCTGAAAAAGTTTTCTGGATCCGCCGCAGTCTTCACCTTCACCAATTTCTCGAAGTTTCCCTTGAAATACTTTATTCCCCAGGCGCTCGCCTGCTCATAGGTTGCACTGCCATTCTTCCCATTCACGCCCAAATCCACATCTCTGTAGTTCAAATAGGCACATCTTGGGGATTTTGAGACATAAGGCGTCATCAACTCGTACAGGTCTCTGATCAACTTCAGATTTTGTTGCGCAGCTGCGTCCCCTTCTTCTTTCCATTGTGCTGAGTACTGGATTTTGTACAGGTTCCCTACTCTGAATGGAAATGGGGTTGCAGTTTCTGGGAGTGCGTCCATTTTCCCACCGTATGGGTTGAATGTCAGCGCCACCGTTCCCATTTCTATCATCTTCTTCATCACTGCTTCAAGATCTGCCCTTGGGATTGGTGTTTGGACATAGTCTGATTTCTTCTTCAAGAACTTCGCCTCCGATTTTGGTTGCCTGTCCTGCAAGACCGTGAGTGGGGTCCCAATGGGGTAGTTGGACCAGAACAGAACCGTCTCAATCCAGCTCATTTCTTTACAATCCTCAGCCTTCACACCCAGTTCGGGAAAACTCGCAGACATTAACGCAAACAGCTTCTGTGCATCTCCAACGAACAAAGAAATGAATTTCGCTAATATTGTGCTTCCAGTTTTTCTAGTCGTGGTATGAAACACCACTCTAATGAACAGATTTTCGTCGGTTTTAGGAGCAACTTCCTGCCATTTGTACAAGATATCCACTGCGCCTTCCTCCATGGTTCTCTCTATTCTAAAAACGGTGACCTTTTCAGGTAAAGGAACCAATTTGAATTTCCATGAAACTATGACTCCAAAGCTAGCTCCACCTCCTCCTCTAATTGCCCAGAACAGATCTTCTCCCATTGATTTTCTATCCAAAAGCGTACCATTAGCACCTACCATGGTAGCATCAAGTATATAGTCCACAGAAACCCCAAATTTCCTCATCAAACTGCCGTAGCCGGCGCCGCTGACATGGCCCCCGACTCCAACCGTGGGGCAAACCCCAGCTGGGAACCCATGCAGCTTGCTCTTCTCTCCAATCTTGAAGTAAACTTCCCCAAGCGTGGCCCCCGACTCCACCCACGCGCTCTCGTCCTTGAGATCGACGGTTACAGCTCGAAGATTGAACATATCGAGGAGCACAAATGGGGAATCGGAGACGTAGGAGAGGCCATCGTAATCATGGCCGCCACTGCGGGTTCTGATTTCGAGGCCGTGGATTTTGCAACAGGTAACCGAGGCTTGAATGTGGGAGGTGTGGGTCGGGGCGATGATGAACACTGGCTTGGGGGTAGTGGGGGACGTGAATCTTAGGTTTCTGATGTAAGATTTTAAGGTGGGAATGAAAGATGGGTTATCGGGGAAGAAAGTGACTTTAGAAATTGGGTAAGCAGAGGATGAAGAATGATTAGTAAGGCACTCTAGAAGAATCTGAGAGGATGGAATTGGAGCGGAAGCTGCCATTGAGGCCAGAAGGAGAAGCAGGGCGAGGAAGATTGGGATTGTTGGTGAATTGGGAACCGCCATGGCCGGCTGCCGTTGGGACATTGAAAGTGAAACAACACGAATTCAAGAGAAGAAGACACGATTACAGAAACCACGCACAAATCTGTCTTGCAAGTTTGCAATGCTGCTATTAAATAGCAGAAGAGGTTCCACGAGGGGAAATTTTGCCAAAAATAAGGAAGCCAATTTTAAAGAACCGTAGCTTTTCCCTAACTTTCCCACCCACAAGCTCCCATCCCATCTCTCCTTCACTCTCGCAACTCTCTCCCAAATTCAACGGCGTCTCTCTCTCTCTTTCGATACCAAAAACATGTGGCGACAATTTCCATGGCTGATTCTTTTTTCTTTTTTCTTCTTATTTTTCTGGGTCTCATACTCCGCCGGCCGGTTCTCCGACTTCACCGTCTCCTTCTGGGTCTAAAACTCCGGTGGGTGTTCTGGAAGTTTTGTTGATTCGATTTCCATGGCTGATTTAATTTTTCTTTTTCTGGGATTTGGTGGGTTTAGTTCAACTTTATTTCTTGAGTTCGGTAATATGCTTCTTCTTGCCGTCCAATATTGTTGTTTCTTAGGACTACAACATTTCTAAACGTATTGTTTTATTTCATAATTTTAGTTCTTCGTATTTTAAAGTAACTTTCTTTTTCATTTTTATGCATCTGTTATACTATAAAAATTCTTGAAGATAATTCATAGTACGTTCTTGATGATTTTGGACTCTACTTTTGATCAAAAGTGAAATCCAAAGACTGTCATCGACAGAAATAGGATAACATTCATTTTTATCATTTTATGTCATTTTCATGGGTAGCATATTCAATTGGCCAATGACCATATTTGAATTGTTTTCTTTCGTGTTATATATTGCAATACCAAAATCAAGCAACACAAATTTTAAGCCATTGAATAGTGTATCCATATGTTTCAAATGCCTTGAAATAATCCAGAAGATTCAAAAGAAAAAAAATAAAATAAAAGGCAAATGACATTTTTTAACCTTATGTGTTCTTTTTTCTTACTATATCTTGCAATATACCAAAAAAGGAAAAAACAAATGCAAGCAAAATGACACTTATAATGTAAATCAACATCTCTATGTTACGAGTGACTTCAAATAAATCAGTTATAGGAAAATAAAAGAATGCAACAAGAATGACTACTGAACACTATATTTTTATTCTTGCAATATATCATAATGCTAAAATCAAGCAACAAAAGACACAAGTTTAAAGCATTATATTTCATAATGTTTATTCGTTGCCAACATGAGCTTAGCTTAGTGATATTGACATCTATCTCCGATCACGAGGGTGTGAATGCAAATCCTCTCACCTATCTTATTGTTAAAAAAAAATCAAGTAGCAAATAAGCGATTAATTAACCTTCTGTTTTTAACCTTGCAATATGTTGCAATGCCAAAATCCAACAACAAATCAACCGAACAAAATGACATAATTTTGAGCAACTAAAATTTTCAATTTCATATATAAATAATTTACGCTGAAATATATATATATATATATATATATATGTAGCGAACCTCTCTCTTTCGCCGTTGTCGAAGGGGAGGACTGTCGCCGTCGCAGAAGAAATAAAGCAGTCGCGGAAGAATTCGAAATCGTAGCCGAAAGAGCCGTTGATTTTGCGAGAAAGACGCGGGAGGGGAGGAGAGAAATTTGCAATTGGAAATCAAATTGCAAACTTCAAATTCACAGCTCCGCCATTCGAATCAGATTGTTGGTTCTTGAAGAATGCAACAGATGGGATGCTCTGCTCGTATCTGAAGAAGTTGTCCGGATCCGCCACGGTCTTCACCTCCACCAACCTCTCCAAGTTCCCCTTGAAATACTTTCTCCCCCAAGTGCTTGCCTCCTCATAGCTCCCGTTGCCATTTCTTCCATTAACGCCCAAATCCACATCTCTGTAGTTCAAATAAGCACTTCTTGGCGATTTTGAGACATGGGGTGTCATGTACTCGTATAGCTCTCTGATCAACTCCAGATTTTGTTCTGCAGCTTCGTCCCCTTCTTCTTTCCATGTTACTGAGTACTGGATTTTGTACATGTTCCCTGCTCTGTGTGGAAATGGGGTTTCACTCTCTGGGATTTGACTCATTTTCCCACCATACGGGTTGAATGTCAGCGCTGGTCTTTTCAATTCCATCATCTTCTTCATCATTCCTTCGAGATCTGCCTTTGATATTGGTTCTTGTACGTAGTCTGATTTCTTCTTCAAGAACTTCTCAGATTTGGGTTGCCTTTCAAGCAAAACGTTGAGTGAGGTCCCATTTGGGTAGTTGGACCAGAACAGAACCGACTCAATCCAGCTCATTTCTTTACAATCCTCAGCCTTAACACCCAATTCAGGAAAACTCTCAGACATTAACGCAAACAGCTTCTCTGCATTTCCAAGGAACAATGAAACGAATTTGGCTTTTGCTGTGCTTTTGGCTTTTTTATTCACGGGAAGGATCACCACTCTAATAAACAGATTTTCATCAATTTTATGAGCAATCTGCTGCCATTTGTACAAGATATCCACTGCACCTTCCTCCATGGTTTTCTCCATTCTAAAAACAGTGACAGTTTCTGGTAGAGGAACCAGTTTAAATTTCCATGAAACTATGATGCCAAAGCTAGCTCCACCTCCTCCTCTAATTGCCCAGAACAGATCCTCCCCCATTGATTCTCTATCCAAAACCCTACCATTAGCATCTACAATCAAAGCATCAACAACATAGTCCACAGAAACCCCAAATTTCCTCATCAAATTACCGTAGCCCGCACCGCTGAGATGGCCCCCAACTCCAACCGTGGGGCAAACCCCAGCCGGAAACCCATAGATCTTGCTCCTCTCAGCAATCTTGAAGTAAACTTCCCCCAGCGTCGCCCCCGACTCCACCCACGCGCTCTCGTCCTCGATATCGACAGCCACAGATCGAAGATTGAACATATCGACGATCACAAATGGGGAATCGGAGACATAGGAGAGCCCATCATAATCGTGGCCACCACTTCGGATTCTGATTTCGAGGCCGTGGATTCTGCAGCAGATAATGGAGGCCTGAATGTGGGAGACATGGGTCGGGGCGACGATGAACAATGGATTGGGGGTAGTGGGGGACGCGAATCTAAGGTTTCTGATGTAAGAGTTCAAGACGGGAGAGTAAGATGGGTTATCGGGGAAGAAAACGAGCTGAGAAATTGGGGAAGAAGATGGTGAAGAATGGTCAGAAAGGCACTGGAGAAGAATCTGAGAAGATGGAATTGGATGGGAAGCTGCCATTGAAGCGAGAAGGGTGAGAAAGATTGGGATTATTGGTGAATTGGGAATCGCCATGGGTTGCTGGCGGTGGGCTAAAAATGAATTGGCGTTGAGATGAAACAACCAGGAAATTCCACACTTTGGGGACTGAGTGAGCCAATTTTCAAACGAATTTAATGCGACATGTTCTAAAGACTTGGATGTTTATACTTGCGGGTTAAGTTATATAAATATCTTGCCTTTATCATATAGCTCGATTTGGAATGATTAATTTCGAGTTTGTACTTTTCTTTTAGTGACCATCACAAAATTTTGATAAATTTGATTAACAAACATAAAAATAGAGTTTTTTTTTTCAATTTTTTAAAATAAAAGCGGTGTAATTTTTATTATTTTTCTATTTAATAAAAAAATTGCTATCAAATTTTGAATCGTGGGTTAGAAATTATCTGTTTCTTTTCATATTTCTCTCTCCTGCTTATAAAAAATTTAACCATGAAAAAGTGGATACTCAACTGTTAGAACATAAATATTATGATAAAATTCTTACTTACTCATTAAGAAATTGATAATTAGGAGATGAATGTATAAAATAAGAGGGAAGCTGAAAATTTTACCATTGTGATAAGTAGGAGGAAGATAACTTTACCTATAAGTACCTAAATTTTATTATAAATATTATTGGTATCTTTATTAGATTTTTTTAGTTCAAGAAATATAATGGCACGAGGATTTGAATTTTCAATATTAGAAAAAGATATAAATATTTTTACTCCGTAAGGTATATTCCTATTAACTTAGATATTTATATAACTTTTAGTCTACACATTTCTTTTTTACTATTATTATACATCTTTTAGGGAACATGCGTTAGAAAGTTATTTTAATGCATCAAGATTACAAAACTATTATTTTCAAAATAAAAATTTAAAATCATTATTACAATTTTTGTATTTTATAAAATTATTGTTGTTAATAGGTTTAATAGTAAACTTTGAAATAATGTTCGTATGATATGTTAATTAAAAATTAATGGAAGAAAACAGTTAAAGAAAAAAAAAAACACTTATTCACATCTACTTAGAAAATCATTTCTTTTTCTAGTTATTTTTGTTTTCTTTTAACATAGTTGAATGGATAAATAAATTAATGTCTTGGTTCTTCGGATAGCTGGATGAAGAATTATGCCACCATCTACATGTCAACGAATTCCCAAATTTGGGAATTCGTGTAGGTCCTCGTATCTTGAGATTTTCTTATAAATGGTAGCCTCCTTTGATTGGGTGTTACAAGGTGAATACAAAAGTCTCTTTTATTTTGGCTTGTTTAAGCACTTGGGGGTGGTTAGAAAATCATCTCTCTCTTTTTTTTTATAATTATTTTCGCTTTCTTAAACGTAGTTTAATAGATAAATAAATTCCTGTCTGATTCTTTGGATCGCGGATTGAGAATTATGTCATCACCTACCGTTCAACAAATTCCCATCAATTTAAGGAGGACCTTGACGGACGAGGACCTACGTAGGTCCTCCTCCGTCAAGGTCCTCCTGCAAATGACATTCTCCTTTGGTTGAGTGTTACAAGGTGAATACAAACATCTATTTTCTTTTAGCTTTTTAAGAGCTAGTTTTGGAGTTGTTATTGGCAAGACTGATGGTCATGTATTACTAGTGCTAGCGAAATTCCTTCCCCACTGTGGTTTGGTCGATATGTTGAAGTGTTGGCAATTCAAGAAGGTTTGTCCTTGGTGGTAAAAATGAGATTTCAAGCCAATTATCTTGATTTTGTTTAACGTCAATTCAAACATAGTTTAATATATCAATGACAGATTATGATTCGACCCCCACCTCACAATCAACTAAAAAAGTCATTAATGATTGCAAATTAACATCCAATGATAAAGAGTTTCTATTAATTAGCAACACAAGTTGTAGAAATAAGACATTCAAAGTTGTGTCAAGCCAATTGATTTGCTAAAAAAAACATAACAAAATCATAATTAGAAGCCCCAGATATAGTTTTATTAGACGTTCATCTTATTAATTCACTCACAAGATCAACGAATAGGGATACTCTGTTCATTTCTGAAGAAATTTTCAGGATCAACCTTCGTCTTCACAGTCACCAATCTCTCAAAATTCCCCTTAAAATACTTCGTCCCATAAACCCTACCTTCCTCCATGCTCCAATGGGTGGTGCTCCCCACGTCGATGTCCCTGTAATTTAGGAACGCCTCTCTCGGATCCTTTGATACATACGGCGTCATTGCTTCGTACAATCTTCTCACCAATACAATATTCTCCTCAGCCACTTCATCGCCCCCTTCCTTCCAGTTCGCAGAGTACTGGAGTTTGAATTTCACTCCTGCTCTGTGTGGAAATGGCGTC